CTTTTAATAAAAAATTATTATTAAATTATTTAAATTATTAACAATAACTTATAAATTCTCCCTAAGTTTTTGTAATTAAATCAGTTAATAAAGATTGCATCTGATCCTTCGAATCAACTAGTATCTTATCAGCTTGAGGTGCATTCCTTTTCTTTTATGGGCGAACTTTCGAACCCGTCTCTTGACAATTTGTTCAAAAAAAAAATAAAAAAATCAGTTAGTAAAGCTTGACCATTTTAACTATCTACTTCAATGTTTTAGGTCCCAGAATTTATAAATAATATCATTGTAAAATTTTTTTTTTGAAAACAAGGATAATTATTTTTTTTTATTATTATTATTTCAGTCATTTGAGGGGCAAAGGAAAAAGGAGCTGGGCAACGAACACTTCACACCCCAGTTTATTTTTATTCATAGGGAGTGATTTCACCCCATCTATCACGTGGATCACATAATCCTTTATCATAGCGGATGGTTAACATTACTAATTTACTACTGTTTCTCTTTCCTTAGATATTTTTATAAAATTTTTGAATTTATTTAATTTATGTTTTTAAAATATAAATTAAAAGTATAATAAATATATTTTTAATAATTAATTTATATTAAAAATTATAAAAATTAATATATTTTTTAATTTATATATTTTTAATATTTTTAATACGTAAATAATTTTATTTAATTAATTAAATTAAAATTAAAATTTAATTTTAAAACGTGGCTATGCTATGGGCAAGAGAGAAACGAATCCGGAGGCAGAGAAAAATATCTGAGGAAAGAGAAACAGTGAAAGTAAAAGAGTTTTATCAATCTCTGCGTCATGTTAGGAGAGTCTTAATTATGTAATAATAATTATTTTTTATTTTAAAAATAATAGAATTTATTTTTTGTTTTACTTATAAATATCATATATTAAATTTTAATTGATTAACCTATATATATATATAAAATGCTACCCTATGCATTAAATAGGGTAAGCATTTTATATAGGAATTGCAATCTCACCCACCATCGATGGTTACTTTCCTTCAAAAGCCATCCTGGTAGATACTTGCCTCCCTCCCACCCGCCAACATCAGCTGTTTGATCTAGATCTCACCATCTCACATCATGAATCTAGCCCCAATTGCGTCTTTTCACATTTTGTGGCATTTCCCTATTCATACAGTCTCCTCTCTCTTCTTCGTAACAGATACACTTCATTATATACATAACGGATACATTTTTTTATATATAATTAATTAATAGTAGGGATGAAAATCATAACGGATACACTTTCGTTATATATATATATATATTAAGCCTCTTGGAAATCTAAAATTATCTCCTTCATCATCCACACCTACTGCCACTTCTTTGTCACCGTATTCACCAGTTCGCCATTGGCAACTCCTTCATTTCAAAAAGGAGAACGAAAATGAGTTTCAGGATTTGATTGATCGTCATCATGGGTCGAAAGAAGACGAGGGCTAAACGACGTATCCTCATTAAGAGCGATGACGAGGAGGAGGAAGACAAGGTGGTCATTGAGGAAGTTGTTGTAGTGCCCAGTCTCATGGAGAACTGCAAGGATCAGGAATCTAATAATTTGGTTGAAGTTTTCGGGACTGACATGGAAGAAGCGAGTGATCCGCAGATTGAGAGTTTTGAGAAGGATTTTGAAGAGGTGGATACTATAGTTAGTGCTGTCATGGAAATGGATGTCAAAGTGAAACAAGATGTAATCGAGATGGATGGAAACAATGAGAACGCTAAAGTTAATGTGAATTTTAGTAATGAAAATGTGAATTTGGGTTCTCAATGTACTTGGGGAGAAAGTGTGAAAATTTCAACAATACAGATGCCAATTGAAGTTAAGAGCTCGAATCTCAATGGAGGAT